CTGGCTCCTGGTTTTGGATCGGCTCAGCTCCGGCCCTTGCAGCTGCTTGGGGAGTGAACCAGAGATCTTTCTCTCTGTATCTCCTTCTTTCTGGATATCTGCCTTTCCAATAAAAATAAATAAATCTAATTTTTTTCTTTATAAAATAATAAATTTGTTTGCACAGGTTTCCAATGCAGCAGTTGCTATACAGGGCTTCCCCACCCCCTTTTCAATCCTCTGCCTTATACTAAACACCCTTCGGCAGACACACACTGCAGAGTCAGCATAGCAGCACAGACTTCCATGAGCCACTGGACAACTACTCCTTATGAATGACACCTACCATACACTTCTTTATGCTTTAAAATTTATTTGAGAGGCACGGACACCTGAGAGTTCCCAACTGCTGGTTCACTCCCCAGATGCTCACCATAGCTACAGCTGGCCCCAAAGCCAAGAGCAGGAACACAACCCAAATCTCCTGTGTGGGTGCTAGGAACTCAAGCACCAAGGCCAGGGTGCGCGTGCGCAGAAGCCGGGTGCAGGGGCTGGACCTGGGAACGGAACCCAGGCACTCCCACAGGAGGTGCAGGCATCTTAGCCACTAGGCCCGTGGCCAGCTCCATTAACGCACTGCAAGGCGCTAAACCTGAAACCCAACCTAGCAGCTCAATAATGCTATTTTTAGACAGTTCCAATGACCTTAATTTGAGGCCAGTACAGTTCTTTCTTCAAGCTTTGTACAAAATACTAAAATGGAGGCATCTTACTAAGAAACAGTGGAGGTTAGCAAGACCACTTAGCCAAAAAGCCTCTTTAGAAGCAAAGAATGCGGAGCACTACAGTAACGGATGAGACTGCCAGGATGCACTCTCCTGGAGTGTGCCTCCATTTCCATCTCCCCTACGGCATCAGCAGCAAAAAATACATTATGAACATTTTAGCACAAGGCTCAATTCTTTCTAATCACGCTCCTGTTCCCATTATTCTAATTGTAGATTCTCTTTACAAATACAGACCCAACAGTCTACCTTTACATTAGTGGTTATCACTTATTCCCCCTCTTAAAACAACATCAAGGAGAAGGAAAGGCTACAGTGTTTCAACACTATAAATGGCTCCTACTGGCCGTGGCCCGTGAGGTCCACCCCAATGCTGCACAGTGCCCAGTTCTTCCTAACCAACCCCGCCGCCCTGCATGCAGGCATCTTCCGTTCCCGGCTGCCTCAGTACAGCCACCACCTCACAATGAGTTCACAGTCAATGGCTCCTTGTCCCTTCAAACACTTCCCGTCTTTTCCACTGGTACAGGACATTTGTCTAAAAAAATCAACATTCCTACCTTGTGTGTCTTTTTTGTCTGCCACCCTCCCTGCAGACAGATTCGACCACCGCTACCTGTCACACCCCCTAGGGTGTGCAGATTGATTTTTTATTAGAAAGGCGGATTTACAGAGAAGAGGAGAGATAGAAAAATAGAGAGATCGCCCACTTCCATCCACTGGTTCACTCCCCAAACAGCCGCAACGGCTGGAGCTGAACTGATCTGAAGCCAAGAGCCTGGAGCATTTTCCAGGTCTCCCAAGCGGGTGCAGGATCCCAAGGCTTCGGGCCGTTCCTCCATTGCTTTCCCAGGCCACGAGCAGGGAGCTGGGTTCAAAGTGGAGCAGACAGGTGAAGAACCTGTGCCCATATGGGGTGTCAGCACTCGCAGGCAGAGCATTAGCCAGGTGAGCCACCGCGCCAGCCCTCCAGCTCTCCCTCACAGGCTCTCGCCTGGCCCACAGTTCCACACGGCCTCCCCAGCCATCCTCACTGGGCATGCTCCTTTCCCTCACCTCCGAAGTTTTCCTTCTAGCGACACTCGCAGCCCCTCTCCCTTGAAAGCTGATTTTTATAACCTTTTAGCCATGCTGCCTCCCGCTGCAAGAGAGGGACCATCTTTGCTGTCTCGTTTGTTCTCTGCTACGTTCCCTGGCACAGAGAATAAATGACTACCGTTGACTCTGTGCAACAGACACTTGCTAAATTAAAACAACTAGATTTTCTAGTATCAGACACTGCACTTCCTTTCCAGCTTCACCTCCCACAGCTGCTGCTAGCCCTGGACTCAACACTCAATCTACTGTAATCCCTCCTCATTTGCAAGGCCCAGTCTAGTAGCCACTGTCTCTCGGTAGCAGCCCAGTGAACAGCCCAGAAACCACATCAGCCATCACTTTACCACTGGGCCCAGGCTGTGTTGCTTCACATTAGCACTAGGGGCTGGCAGCCGGGGGCGCGGGCAGGCAGGCAGGCATCATTTCAGTCAACTTTGCACTCCCAGGGTCTGCCCAGCCTTCAGAGCTGCAGTGAAGACTGGCCACAAGGAGTAGGCAGCCTGTCAGGCTTTCGTCCGGCTTCTTTCAAAAGAAACTCGGCATGCCTAACCCGGAGTCCTGCTCACTGCGGCAACTTAAGGACAGACCCATTCCACCAAGGAGAATATGGAGATTCCTTATCAAGAGGTTGAAAAATCTGAGCCCAGTCAACCTGTCAGGGAAAACTTTCCCATGCAACTGCACTGTGAACTGGATAACAGCAGCCTCTCCTACGAGCAGGTGTCACTATGAAGGAAGGAAAGAGAGGCTGAGGACAGGGGGCAGGGTCAAGGTCTGGGGGGACAGGCAGTCTTGGGGCAGACACAGCCATAGGACAGCCAAAAATGAAGATCACTTGCCCCTACTCACAGAAAGCCAGAGGCTGGTTCAGTCTGACTTTCAGTTCCCGGAGGGTTTGCAGGCCTCAGGACTTCAGCCTTGGGGTATCTGATCTGAACTGCCCCGAAGGTACAACACAGGGTCCACAGCCACCAAAGTCAGCTCGGCTGATCCCAAAAACAGAAGGCATCCTCCACAAACCCACCAAAGGTTCCAACTGAATCAGACCAAAGCAGGGCCCTCTGGGTGAGGCATTCCACACCCTTGCCCCGCAGCCTCGCCCCACAGACTGCCAACGCTGCAGTCAGAAGGCACAGGACACGCTCGCCAGGTTTTCCTGAGTGCCCACACAGCTGCTACCATGAATCATCAAAAACCACCGGAAGCCCACATCCCACCCAGAGTGCCCTGCTCACCCACTCCCCCAGGGCGGTCTCCCAACCCTTCCAGCACCGTCTAGAAAGCTGTGGGGTTTTTCCTACATTTGAAGCAAAGGTAACAGCTCACTGTGTTGACTGCATATGCCTTAGTCACCAACACAACGTCCCCAACTGAGAAAGTAGAGTTCAAGTTTACTTTTTAAGAAAGGAAAGGGAATTTTCCCAGGATTACACTCCGGTTGTTTCAGCTTTCAGACACTGAAAATGAGCAGCAAAGCTCAGGGGAGAGGGTGGTGTCCAGGGGGCAGCGGGAACCACGGAGGAGTCGGCGGGCGGATTCCCTGGAGCCTCCTCGACACAGGGCTTTCACCAGCACTGCGCAAGGCAGCGGCTCTGGCTGCGAAAGGCACTCAGCTGCCAGGGCTCCCACGAGACGGTTCTGGGAGGGCCCAGTCTCTCGGCCCACCCTCAGCACGGCCACACATCATCCACGATGTCAAATGGGTTGATGTGAATAAAGCAGACTGGGGAAGTGTAACAACATTTTTTTTCCCCCTGAAGAAAGTGAACGTGATCCGTTCAGAGGTGTGGGTCAACCAGAAGCCAGACATCCTCTGGAAGGGAATTAATTCTATGCCCTGGGACAAGCTGACGGTTCAGGCTCAGAGTCCAGCCGGATGCCAGCTCTGAGTGATCTGAACACAGAGCAAACTAACAAAGAACCTGATTCCAAAGCAGAGGCTCTCGGATCTGCTCTTGGCTGAAGTCTAAACTCTCTCAGGACCGTTGGGACCGGGCACCCATGTCCAACACCCATGTTCCTAAGCCATGGTCGGAGCAAGGACGGGTTCTGAGGTTCTGAGGCTACGCTTAGCATAACCACAAGATGAGCTGTGACACCACGGCGTCCCGGGAGGCCACCACAGGGACAGCGTGGACCGGACGGTCACCTTTCCCCACCACCTCTCTCATGCACACACACACAGCACTCCAGCAACAGAGCAAAAACGTTTTCCGTACAGTAACTTAGACTCTGCAGTAACTCTGCCTGCATTTGTAGGCAGCAAGGTCACGCACACACCCACCAGTGAATAATTCCCAGCCGGAACACCTGAAACTGATATTCTTAACACCAAACAAAGAGCCTTCAAGTATGTCAGCCTGGGACATTTTGGTGCTCAGGGAACAAGTTGCAGCAACACTTTGGGCCCCGAGGTAACACTGTAGCTAACTTTTCCCCATAGAAGTTTATCAAAACCTATTAAGAGCGTGACCTCACATTCCCAGGGTTTTCCACAAGGATTTGCAAACTAAAGCGGACAGCCTTCCTAAAGAACAAGGGGGGGGTGGGGGGGGCGGATGAAAACGAATTCAACACTAAGCCACAACACAGTGGCTACGGCGTTTAGTTTACAGCTCGAGGCCTTAGAATACCATCATTCTCCCCATCTCCCGGATGCACGAACGGTAAGATGAGGTCAGACAGCTCAGGATCCCCAGTTCCCACACTGAGTCACCTGAGGAGCTTTCCAAGCCCGGCCCCAAACATTCCGTTTTCATGGATATGCGCCCCGGCTTGCGCACCGTCAGGCAAAGTTTGAGACCCGCTGTGCGCGTGTGCTCTGAGCCACTCGGGGTGGTCACTGCACGGCTGCAGCTCGGGCCCGAGTGTCCTCAGCCCCCGGGCCGTCCCACGCCGGGCACAGGTGCAGGCCGCGCGCGCAGGTGTCCCGGGCGCACGGCAGGCAGCGAGGGGGCGCGCGCCGGGCCGGCTCGGCCGCCCCTCACATGACTCCCGCGCGCCTCCTCGCCGGCCCCGGGGCCCCTGCGTGACTAGGTGCCGCGGGACTCCCGCCAAGTTCGTTACTTCCCCGGGCGAGGAGGACGGGGCAGGACCGACCGGGGCCGCCCGCGCCCGCGGGTCCCACCGTCTACCCACCCGGAGGTGAAATCCTGCTGCACGCTCAGCAGCCTCTCGCGTAGGGTCTCCAGCATCGCCGCCGCCGCCGCCGCCGCCGCGTCTCCTCCCCGTGGGCCGGTGCCGCCACCCCCGCACCTGCCGCCCCGCGCCCCGGCGCCCCTGCCGGCCCCGCCCCCGCCGGCCCAGGGTGCGCGCCGCAGCCCCGGCCCCTTCCGCGTTCCCACCCGCCCCGGGCCGCGCGCCCTCGCCCCGCCCCGCCGCGCCGCGCGCCGGGCCCGCGCAGCCGCAGTGTCCGCGTCGGCCTCGGAGTGGGAGGGGCGCGGCCTGCCGCCGGGCGGGGCTAAGGGCAGAGGGCGTGGTCTGCGTTGAGGCGGGTCTAAGAGGAGGAGGAGTGACCTGCCGCCCGGCGGGGCTATGGGCAGAGGGCGTGGCCTGCCGCCGGGCAGGAACTGCGGAGAAGAGGGAGAGGCCTGCCGCTAGGCCCGGGATGCAGGGGAAAGGGCGTGGCCTGCCACCGGGGCGGGGCTACGGGGAGAGGGCATGGCCTGCCGCTAAGGTGGAACTGTGGAGAAGAGGGAGTGGCCTGCCGCCGGGGCGTGGCCTGCCGCCCAGCCAGAACTACAGAAAGGGGAGTGGCCTGCCACTGGGGCGTGGCCTACCGCCGGGCCGGAACTGCAGAGAGGGGCGTGGCCTGGCGCCGGGGCGTGGCCTGCCGCCCGCACGGGGCTGACAGGACGCTCCTTGACCCCTGCCTAATCCACGGCCCTGCTTGGTCTTTTTGTTCTCCTAGTGGGAACCGGTTTTACGGCTGACCGGGGAGCCTTCCAGTCAGAAATCAGTCGTGGCCTCTAGGTCAAGTGTCTCGCACCCTGGCTTTGCATATAAATTGGCGGTATCCACCAGCTGCCCTCCCTTGAACCCACGCAAACGAAGGATGATTGATTGCCTTGTACAGGTCACCGTTTGTTACTTTTCTGATTCATTTTCTCCACCTCTTCATGACGCTGAGATAGCTTATTCCCCACCCCCCACCCCCTTTTTTTAGACATTTATTGGAAAGGCAGAGTGACTGAGGGACTTCTATCTGCGGATCCATTCTCCGAAGGTCTGCAACCGGAGCCTGCAACGCCATCCAGGTCTCCCACTTGAGTCTCCCTGGCGCTTGAGCCACCTTCCACTGCTTTCCCGGAGCTGTATCTGAAGCAATGTGGGTTGGAACTGGAGCGCAGGCTGCAAAAGGGATGCTGCAATCAGGCAGCAGCTTAGCCCTGCGCCAGACCTGGGGCCCTTGATCCCAGCTACCACCGGGGAGCCAGGAAGTAAGGAGCGTTGGGGCTGGCATTGTTACTACCTAAGACACCCATGTCCCATGTGGGCATCAGTTTGTGTCCTGGCTGCTGCACTTCCAATCCAGCTTCCTGTTCCTGTGCCTGGGAAAGCAACGTCAGATGGCCCACGTACTCGAGCCCCTGAACCCACATGAGAGTCTCGGATGAAGCTCCTGCTTTGGCTTGGCCCAAAGCTCTGTTGCAGCCATGCGTTCACTTTCTCAGGTGGTTCCAAGAAGGAGGGGTGTGTTGTTTATTGATGCAAAGTAAGTGATCAAATGATCACATATCTAGGGGTGGGTTAGTTAGTCCCAGGTGCTGGGCTTTCAGATTTTACTCAGTTAAATCCATTCCTCTGCCTGTTTGCTCGGAGTGTAGTAAGTTCCGTGGATTGCTACGAAACCATAGGTTGCACTAAACTCGGGCAGAAAGGCTGTATGTGTTTGTGAGACACAGCTTTGCCACTTGTGCTCCCATCCTGTCTGTCTTGACCAATGCTTTATTTTATTAGTCTGTGGCAAACGTGGGTTTCATCTCGAGCTACTTATGAACATTCTCATTCCCATCATGTCTAATGAGCCCCCAAACAATAAATATCCTAAAAGGTACTGCGGCTGGCACCTGCTCTTGTCTAAAGCCTGAGAAAGCAGAAAAGGAAGGCGTAAATTCTTAGGCCCCTGCATTCACCAAGGAACCCAGAAGAAGCTCCTAGCTTTGGATCAGCTCAGCTCTCGTAGTTGTAATCTTGGGAAAACGAATTTCCATTTAAGAAGAGACATTCTATTCTAAAGAAATAAAAGTGAATTAACAAAAAAAAAGGAAATTAGAGACACAAGGGTTGTTGCTGCCTGTGCCGGAGGGCCAGAAGTGAAACCCGTGGACATAAACAGGAATCAGAAACTGGAACGACTAGTTGGCAGAACACAAACTGTGAAGTCAGATAGCCAACGCCCATCCTGAGGCTGCTGGCCACATTTTAACTCAGGAAATGGCTGTGAGCTGATTTTGAAAACATTATAACGAAGTGCAGAAATTACACACATTGGTGACGAAACATCTGGGGTGAGAACCCAAGAGGCCGGACAGGTCCCTAGGGTGGTGCCTTGGGGCACCGCAGCGGCAGCAGCACCCTGGGAGGGGCTGCAAGTGTAGGTGCTCAGGCTCCACCCCGAGGGACTGAGTCAGAACCCAAAGTTCATCCACAACCCCAGAAGTTGATGCTGATATGCATGCTGCAAGAAGTACTTCCAGGTGACAGGCACTGAGCGAAGGCAGCTTCCTGTCCCTGTCTTGCTGTAGACAAAGCGATAAGCGAGGATTTGGTGAAAAGAAAGACGAAGAGGAAGGTGTTATTAAGGCAGAGGATTTGGAACCCATGAGATTGCATGACACTTTCCGCGCAGAGGCCTTGAAGCGTAACTGCTGAGGCCCTTTGGTTGTTTGTATTGTACGAACCTTGGATTGCGAAGGTTATTGATGATGTGTTATTACTCACTTGTCTTTACTTTTTTTTTATTTTTTTAAAGATTTATTTATTGGCAGATATACAGAGAGTAGGAAAGACAGAGAGGAAGATCTTCCGTCCGATGATTCACTCCCCAAGTGAGCGCAACAGCCAATGCTATGCCAATCCAAAGCCAGGAGACTCTTCTGGGTCTCCCACACGGGTGCAGAGTCCCAAAGCTTTGACCCGTCCTCAACTGCTTTCCCAGGCCACAAGCAGGGAACTGGATGGGAAGCGGGGCTGCCGGGATTAGAACCGGCGCCCATAAGGGATCCTGGCGCATTCAAGGCGAGGACTTTAGCCACTAGGCCACACTGCGGGGCCCATCTTTGCTTCTTTTTTAAGCCAGAATGTAACTATCTTTTGTATCTTAAGTTTTGAAAGGCAAGAAACAAAAAAAGGCAGAATTCGTGCAAAATCTGTAGAGGCAATGGATAGTTCTAAGAAAATAAGTTATGTGAAACTGTTATTTATTTGGAAGGTAATATGACATAAAAGGGGAGCAAGAGAGACCTTCCATCCTCTGGCTTAGTCTCTTCATGGCTGCCTGCAGTGAGCCAGGCTGAGGCTGGAATCCAGGAACCAGAAACTCCATACTGGTTTCCCATATGGATATCAGAAACTCAGACCCTTGGGACACCATTTGCTGCCTTTGCCACATGCTTTAGCAGGCAGATGACCAGAAGTGGAACAGCTGGGACTCGAACCAGGGCTTGGATATGGTCATATGTTGAGTTTTTTGAAAAGGAATGCAGAGACGGAAAGCAGGGAGCTGGAGGAGAGGAATCCCAACACACAGGAGCAAAGATGAAGTCGGAAGAGCTTGAGAGAAGCAGGTAGAAAGGTGACGTCCAGGTTCAAACACATATGTAATCTACAGTGACCTCCAGGACTGCAGAGCCGGGGTGTGTGACACACATGAGCCAGACTGAAAGAATGGTAAGCAGGCCTCTCAGCTACAACCACTTGTGTTCTGAAATTTCATCCCACTCTAACAAAATGCCATCTGACACCTAGCCTTCTCTTTTTGTTCGATGGGAAAAGAGAGCTAGTGTCCCATGTGCTAGAGAGGTAGCCCTCTTTTATTCCTGGTGGCTCGCTGCTCAGGCTCATGAAACATTCAGAAGCAAGCAATTGTCCCTGTTTATCAAAATGTAGGAACCCCAGCTGAATAAAGAAGACCACAACCAGCTTTTTGCCCAGTGCTTAAAGTACCACTCAGCACACACATCCGGTGCCTGGGTCCGAATTCTGGCTCCACTTCCATGTTCAGCTGCCTAATCGTATCTATCCCAGGAGGCAAAGGGGGAAGGCTCAAGAACCTGGGGCCCTGTGACGCATATGGGGGATCCAGACACAGTTCAGGTCTGGACCGGCGATGGCTGTTGTGGGCATTTGTAGCATGAATCAGTGAGTGGAAGATATCTCTGCTTTTCAAATAGAATGTGAATCAATGAATTAAAATGTTTTTAAAGTAGAAGACTAATTCCATATGCTTACAAATATATGGTTTTCCCTTGAGACTATATCTCTGAAATTAAAACTTGTGAGCCAACAAAGCATAAAGGAACTAAATGTAACAAAGTAAACTGAAAGTTTCCCCAAAATGAGCTCCTTATTTATATCAAGAACAGAGTTACAAAGAGAGGGAGGGATAAGGAAGGAGGGGGAGAGGGATAGGCAGAGAGACAGAGAGAGAATCTTCCATTCATTCGTTTACCCCCCCCAGAAGGCCACAAAAGCCAGGAGTGGGTCAGGATCTTTATCCAGACTCCTATATGGAAGGCAGGAGCCCGAGGGCTTGGGCCAGCTGCTGCTTTTCCAGGCACATTAGCAGGGAGCTGCCTCATAAGCGGAGCTGTCAGGGCTCATATGGTAGGCCGCTCTCACAGGCTGTGGCTCAACCTACTGCACCACAATGCCTTGCCCAACGACGTCAAAGTCTTGAACAAGAAATAGCAGCAAAAACAAAGCAATAAAAGAGAGAAGCATTACCTAGAATTAAGTATCAGCTTACATAGGCAGACGGGGAAGCCCTAATAGCTGACAATGATTCATTTAAATGATTGTATACAATTATTAGTGAAAGCCATCGATCATTGCAATTGTAGTTGAATTGGTAGTTTCCAAGCCTGGGTGCACCTTGAATCAGATGGTGAGTGTTTTAAAGAAACCAGTGCCTGGGCTCTACTCCTAGAGCAGTTGATTTAGTCGGCCTGTGGCTCTATCTCCTCCTCCTTGGGGTTTCAAGAGCTTCCTGGAGTTCCAGCCAGTCCAGGGTCCTGAGCTG